TGCCTGCACAGAAGCAGTCTTGCTTTGCAGGCAATATGGTCTCATTACTAGCACTACAGTCTGCAGTGACAGAAAGTAATTGAGGTCCTGATCCCACAGAACATTACACTGCAAATCAAATCCATTGTGGTATAAGCGTTGCCAGGTGCAGATGTGGGTTTGCACAGCATGGGCATATAATCAGAAACAAATACAGGTAACATCCTGCTTTATTCAGCAGTGACAGAACTGTGGGCCGGGTTCCCATCATGAACACCTTTGCAAGGACACTGATGGCAATGGGCTTTGGCAGCTGTCTATGAGGACATAATTGGGCTTGCAAGACCCACTGCTGCTAATGAGCAAGGTGGAATGACTTGATTCTCAGAGCCCAGGCAGAGTTTGCTGGACTGGCAGTTATTAAACAGATCTAAACAAATATAAACTGAAAGCTGACCACATTGGATCTGGAGCCTGAGATACAGTAATGTCCATGATGCCAGTTTCAGAGTCACTTGTCAGAGCAGGACCTCTCTTTAAGTTAGAACATGCCCAAGGCTCCAGCTACACTGGGTGTATTAGAATCACACTGATGCCTAGATGCTATTGTGCTAGGTGATTCAGAAATGCAGCAAAATCCTTACAGAAAATACACCACCATTCTAGGATAATGGTCCAAACAACTGTGATCATGTAAACTGCAGTTTTGGACTAGCACCGTGTTTTTCATAAGGCTGGGTGAAAAGCTGGGTATGATATAAATGTCTGAAAAAAAATAGAATTTTTTCAACTAGCCCTAAAAAGCAGCATTTATCTGCTCCAAGAAAATCCACTTCTTTTGGTGTGTCTGGATCCAGACAAGTAAGTTATAACAACATCATAATGTCATTTATAAAAGCACTTCTCTCCTTGTTAATGCATGTGGAACATTGCACAGTGCAGTAACTACAACAATGGAGAGGGAGAGCCTTCCAGATTTTTGGACCAAATTAAAATCCAATTTCAAAGTCTCTTTCTCTCTTAGGATGAGGGCCACATTGGATACATCTAGGCTGTGTCTACACTGCACCCCTTTTCCGGAAAAGGGGTGCAGTGTAGACACAGCCTAGATGTATCCAATGTGGCCCTCATCCTAAGAGAGAAAGAGACTTTGAAATTGGATTTTAATTTGGTCCAAAAATCTGGAAGGCTCTCCCTCTCCATTGTTGTAGTTACTGCACTGTGCAATGTTCCACATGCATTAACAAGGAGAGAAGTGCTTTTATAAATGACATTATGATGTTGTTATAACTTACTTGTCTGGATCCAGACACACCAAAAGAAGTGGATTTTCTTGGAGCAGATAAATGCTGCTTTTTAGGGCTAGTTGAAAAAATTCTATTTTTTTAACTGAAAATTGAGCTTTCAATTAAATGATTTTCTTTAAATAAAAAGGTGTGTATCTTCCTTTTAATGTTTCTGATTTTTGTTGTTGAAAAGCCCAGTGCCTTCAAAATTATAACTTTCAGGTTTTGGCTGAATTAGTTTTTTTATTTTTACTGAAAGTTCAGATTTTCAGTAAGAAAAAAAGAGTCTAACTCCCCCCTTCAAAAATCACAAGAACTGACTTAAAAATAACAATATTTTAAAAGCGAATGGGAGAGAGATTTTATTTTCCTCCTTTTTATTCGGCACATGCTGAGGTCACGCTGTCAAGCTTTTCTCTGCAACTATGAGGGGTAGAAAACTACTTTCAAAATATGAAAGCTGATGACCCAGCTAATAGTCTAATTCTACTGCCAAGGGGTTGGAGAAAACCATAAAGAATCTTAAACCTGAGAGATGGCAACACCGTGAGGAGCCCATTTCTGGAGTGGTGATTGTCTTTGGGGAAGCTACTCCAGGGATAAATTTGGCCTGGTGTAGCCCCAGATCTGCCCTGTTTCACTAGCATTGCAACTAGGGTTGCCAGGTGTCCAGTTGTGAACCAGACAGCTCAGTATTTGAGCTTTCTATCTGGGAAACAAATTGAGAAAATGCAAAAATATAACTGTCCATTTTTTTCTAAATAAGATGCAATGTAGATTGTGATGTAATGTCAAGAGTGTCCAGTATTTTTGTTGAAACCGTCTGGCAACCCTATAATGCAATCTCATGCTGGGTGGTACATCAAGGCAATGTTTAACTCAGTTTGCAGCTCATTCTGACCCCACCATCTTACAGCTGCTGCTGCAGCTGCCTGTCGGGACAACTGTTGAGCGCTGACCCCTTTCTATGGCAAGAAAGCAAGGATGGTCTTAGAGGTCATTGGCATTTGCTTGTAGGGTTGGCTCACAGCTGTGAACTGGGCCTCTTCTTCCCACAAAAGGGACAGAGGAGAGAAAAAGGGGGTGTTCACACAAGTACAAGAGGAAAGAGAGAGATGGGGGGGGGGGGAAGGAAGGTTCAGGCCAACTTCCACAGAGAGTAAATAGCAAAACTACATGAACACATACAGGGTGTGGGTGCCTCACACCTAGCTCTGCCAGAACATGCTCTCTGTGTGAAACACCTGCGTGCCCTGCCCACACCACGAGTCCCCGGCTGTGCACTGGTAAGCGCGTGGCTCTAGGGGTGCAAGCATGCAGCTGCGTCTGGGTGGGAGCAGGTCTGTGCGAGTATGGACCCAAACGCGAGGGGGAGGGAGAGCGGGTATTGTCTTTCCTCTCCCAGCGTCCAGCCCCCTCGCCCTTTGCCGCCGGCTCCCCGGGGAGCGATAAGGCGTGTTTACCTTGGCAGCGCATCCAAGCAACAGGAAAGACCAGCTATGCAACCCCCCTGCTCAGCCCTCCCTCGGACTCCCCCTCAGTCCTAGCCCCTCCCCCCCAGCAGCCCTGCCCCTCTCGT